AACTAAATTATTTCCTCTTACAGAACTGGAAGATACAACACTGTAAGGCTCCCAGTAATCATTTTAAATGTAATTCAATCTAATTAGGATTAGATTTTAATGGTAATATGGGAATATTTCATTTGCATTGGCTATCCAGTGCATTGATTTACTCTCCTGGATGCTACAAATAGATAAGAGAAGAATTAAAGATCAGTTTCCATACACTATGGCTTTACATCTCCATCAACATTAGAGGCCAGATCTTGAAATATACACCCCTCCTGAAAACACCTACACACAAGATTAATTTTAAGCATATTGCCTTGTTTTCTGGACTTCAATATACAGTGCTTATGTTCTCTATTGAAAGGTTACATTTCTGCAGGACTGAGGTATTAACTCCCACAGTTCATAATGTACTTATTTCATATTAAACACTTATCCACAGTTGCTTAAAATTACATCTATTTCATAAGCAACCTCCAAAACCAATGCAGATTTTTTTTGTTTAAATTCAGTTAAGATACAATGTTCATACCCCCCCCCCCATCTTTTGTTCTCCTCAGCAGTTCCCACAAACTCAAACACACTATTTGTATTTGCAAATCCATATTTTGTATGATCATATCAAAGTCTACTTGTTTCAGCAGGTTTTTATTATCAGGCAGTAACTATCTCTCCAATATCTCCAGCAAGACATGACTAGACAGCTTGGCCTTCCTACTACTCCCATTCCTCCCTTTGGAAACCCAGAGATGCATTTTCTCTTTTCTTATTCTCAACATCTTGGTACTTGAGTTTCTTCTAAAGATGTTATTCCTAAGACACATCCTTTCCTGAGACTGACCACTTGCTAGACATATTTTTTCTGTCAGAAAACTTAATAATGGGAGTTCTTCCATACAAACTCCCCAGTGTTCTAGAACATGATCGTTTACTTTCTTGCAAACAAAATTAATGCTCCAAGGAAGTGACATAATCACAATGATTCAACTGGTTTACAGAACTATGGTTCAGGGAATAGCATAGAGGAAAATTACAATGCTTGAAGCAGCTGGGGAAAGATGTGGAACTACCACTTCAGTTGCCTATTACTTCACCAGTGCAGTCATCCACCTAGAAACTGTATCCAAATTTGTACACTGGCAATAGGCATGAATGAAATACAGGGATCGTAAGTGATCATCAGCATCACAGATCTGTCATTTCGTCATTGTCCAAGACCTACAAATAAGAACAATCTCAAACCTCCCTATCTTACATCCCGAGGGTATCCACTTTCATAAATGAAAATACCCTGTACAAGACAGAGGCAAGAGGAGGGGACGAGGCAGCAGCACAAACAATTTTTTTGTGTCAAGAGAGGAATGTCAAAGAATCACATGGCATAGAAGCCCATTAAATTACTGTATCCCTATCAGCACTAATTACAGATGCACTGTTTGAAACAGAGGCCTCTTTCTTAAGGCAGTACTACAAAGACTTATTTATCAACTGATTGCTTTTTGTTAGGTTGATTTTTATCAAGAAGTAGAAATAAGGAAATATATTTTAAATTGCACTTGGAGAAGCATACAGATTTTTGTAAACCTTATATCAAAACATATATCCACTCAGCCTTCTTAGCAGTGAAATAAAAAAACTAGCAGGATTTCGTATTTGCTCAGCTGGCAATGACCATCCAGGCACTACCTATATGTCAGCAATGGAGAAGATGGAAGTGCACAGCCTCTCGTTCAGTATGTGATTACAGCCACAGGACATGGTACATGAACCCATTGAAGGGATAAGGAAGACAGGAATGATGCAACTGTTCAGGTAAAACACATTCAGGTGTAAGCAAAACTCTGCAGCAGCTGCATCTCCTGCAATAGACCAATATTTTTGTTCAACACTTTTATAGGTTAACTTCTGCCCTATATTCGTTTGTGAAGAAAAAGAGACTCCTCAGTCAAATGACAAATTTAAATAAATTATTCCATTCTGCCCTGAAATGTCAATTTGAAAAAAAGAAATACACACATGCTCAGACAGATTTATTTCACAGTGAAAAGGGTGAACTTTCAGACTGTCCACAGCCTAATATCAGCAAAGGTCCTCTGAAAATAGCGTGAGTCATGTGTGTTAGAGTCACACAAGCTACATCCTGAATTTTACAGTTCTCCTTCATGGTCATGTCAATCCTCTTCACTATGTTTGATACATGCAGTAAGACAATGGAAGCATTTAAAAGATTTACTTATGATTTTGACCTGCTATCTGAATCATCCAAGGATTTCTTAGAAATGACGACTGGATGCTAAAGGACAAATGTAACCTAGAGTTCTCTAGTGGGACTTTCCATCTCACAGTACAGTTTAATGAAGATCCCAGTAGCAAATCCTAAGATTTTAACTGAAGGCAAGGAGACTTATTTTTATACATCACATAGACTCCACTTTATGAGCTGCCAGTTTGCATACAGGCAATAAAAAGCCCCTTGGCTAAATGCAGACATTGGAATAAAGTGTCAGTTAAGAGTAATTTCATTCTACAAACGTTCTTGCCCATGGAACCTAATGTAGAAAGATTATTTTCAGGTAAAAGCACTGAAAAGGAAGAAATAAAAGTGAAAAAAAGGAAAAAAAGAAAGGAACTACAAAGAAATCACAGTGTTGCACAGAACTGAAATCATCCAATTATGCTTTGATCATGGCTTGAATTTTGAATGTTCCTGTCGTCGTTACTTTCTATCGCACAACTTCTTTCGGTGATTACTTCATATCTACGACGTGTGTCAGACGTACAGAAGAATAAAGTGTGTTATAGGCAGAAGCAGTAGCTTGTCTTGCAGACATAATAAAGCCCATCTCTCAAACATTATTGAGAAGCCTGCCGACAAAGCAAATCAAGCATCGAGTAGAAATGAGGCATAATGCTTAATTCCCTCAATCAGCATTTTCCTACTTGCCAGGAGCACCTCTCTTGGGTGGGCTGACAAGGTGAAAGCTAATTTGCAGATCCAGGAGGAGTCAACTCCATCCAGATAGCACTGCTCTCATGTTAATTAAGAGACTGAAAAGTAAAGTTCACTCAGATATGGCAGTGAAGGAAAAAAATAACTCGAGGAAGGACTGACTGTTAGAAAGAGCAAACAACAAAGCAATCATCGGATCTTCCTATCAGTCAAATTACTGCTGTTTCCAGATTAAAGATTTCAGAAGTGTTATATCAAGCATATAGACAAGGTTACTTCCTATTTCTGCAAGCACCTGATTAAAAATGGTATTAATTTCGACTTTCACACTTATTTCCATCTAGAGTGTTCAGAGCTACACAGGAACACTAGACATTAGGCTCTAAGGCTGGAGGGTGGAGAGGAGCCAAGAAGCACTCCTCTGAGCCAGCTCTCTAGAACATGAAGGCTCCTCTTTTTGGATGGGACCCTCTGCAAGTCAGCCCTTTGCCTGCATACCACAGCCTGCAAGAGGAAGCAGCTATCTCACGGTCCTCTGGGTACTGGGAATGTTACACAGCAGGAAAATGAGGACCAAGGAGCTGCCCAAGTGTTCCAGATGCTGTAAACACTTTCTGACTGAGCTCACAAAATAGCACTTACAGTATCCAATAAGCTACTTAGAGCACATAGAATTTATCATGTATAATGAGCCTCAGTTTCACGTGTTGTTTCTGCTGCATAAGAATGGCAAAGACTGCAGAAAAGAACCAGTCAGCATTTCCTGTCTCCTACCTTCCACCCTCCCCTAGCACAGGGTGCAACTCTTCACTCCAGGCTTGAATTTAGGCCCCTAGAAGATGAAGACATCCTCACAGGACTTGCATGTGACCAGGCTACTCTCCTTTTACCCAACATATAGGACTATCTCCTATGACTCTGTTGGTATTCTGTGGCTTATGCTAACAACCTAATATTATTTTGCATTTTCTAAGCAGATTTTCTACACTAGCATTTTCTGATTAGCTACTTTTTTCCCTAATTAATATTTTCTAATGAACTAGGTTTTCTATTAACTAAGTTTGTAAAGACAATTTACAGACACAAAACAACTCTTAAGAAACTATGCAGTAACAACCTCAGTTCAATTCATGTTTTACAGGATAAAGAAGGGAACAGAATGAAAGTTAACCGAAGCTCCACTTACATGTTCTCAGAGCAGAATCATTGTTAATAAAGCTTTAAAATAATACAGCTATCTTCAAAATTAAACAATGAACCACTGCATATACAAACACTGCTTTAATACTGTTTTTTCTTGGAAATATACTTATTTACTCTAGATAGCTAAAAGACTGATTTTCTTGCTCTCTCCCTCCTTGCCACAAGTGATCAAAGGTGCTTGTCATGTTTCCCCATCTACCCAGAACAGCAGGGTGTCCCTCAGCAGTCTGCTCCTTTCAGATCACTTATGACTGCTGGAGAGACAGTTCCTTTCAAAAAACCTCACTGCTTGGTAAAAATCAAGTCTTTCACTGACCCCTTCGACTGTGGCTTCTCAGAGCACACACTCTTATTCAGAGCCTGTTTTCCTTGAGAGGAGCATGCTGGTTTTCAATCTCAAACTGATTCATCTCTTTCGGATCATGCCTCCATGATACCAGTCTTAATAGTAAAGCAAATAAACCAACTATTTTAGTAATGCATGAGCTCTGAGTAGAGTATTAGGAACAGCACAGTTTAAGGAAAAAAAAAAATTCAAAAATGTTCAACCTGTCAAATGATATGTGCGCTGCTTAGACATCACCAAAGACTCTTTCCAAGACCAACCAGCTTGTTGCTTAAAATCATTTTTTCCTCTGCAGCCCCTTTAGCTTGCCAGCCATCTCCTCCTCTTCCATTCTGAGCTGCATGCCCTTCATGACACCACTCATAGGCTCAAAACCTGAGAGATCAGCCTATATACATGATGTATATGTTTGTATAGTAAAATACGGCCTCAGCAAACAGTCACAACATAAAGTAACTACAAAATGCATCTTCTTTTTATAATTCATTCTACATTTGATTGCAAAGCACCTACCTGAACATGTCTCCTAAGCCTTTCAGCATTCCTTTCTTTGCCTTAATTTTATCCTTCTCTTTATCTCGATCTTTCTTCTTTTCCTTTCCAGCCTTTTTTCTGTCACCTTTATCTTGGTTCCCATTCATCTGTCTCTCCAATGAGTGGGATGGCTGGTCACTTGCCGTGGACACAGATTCTCTACCAGATCTTGAGCTCTCCTCTGTGTCTTCCTCCACTGAAAGCACATATTAAGAAACATCAGTAGGACGAGAACAAACAACAAGGGTAGGGTTTTGGGTACATTGCATAATGCACTTTGAAGCAGGATATAGGCACAACCACAAAATACTCTTCTTTTTTTTCTGTTTTTTTTTTTTTTCTTTTTTTTTCTTTTTTTTTTCCCCACCAAAAATCAGTGTCTGTTCATGTGGAGTTTTTGCCAAACATGATTTGTGCTTTGTGGGTACTCTGAATAATGTCTGATTTAACAAAGAGGATTAGTAAAGTGACATTAATTTGGCCATTTTATTTCTCGATCTAAATCAGTTGAGGAGAGCTTTAGAAATATCTTCAAGAAGAAACAACAGTAGTGTAGCATGCCCTGTCAATAAATTTTCAGTAAAACCCTCATAAAAATATGATAGCCATTAAGGACAGTTAACCCTCAGTGCAAGCCTTAACAGAAGCCTTAACACCTTCTGCTTCAAGTACCATAATGGTTTTGTCATACTATTTCATTTCCTGGAGCAGTTTAAAACACATTTAAGCAGTTTAAAAAAAACACTTTTGTTCTAGGTTTTATTCTTGATTGAGATGGGTCAGCCTGGGAGGTTTGGGTGGGAAGATTCCATCCAGCAGAACAAATAAAAACATTTAAGGACAGATAACATGTTCATTCTTCATTTCTAATCCAAGTCCAAGATTCTGAGAATCCTAAAGTGTACCCAAAGTTAGATTTAACAGAGCACATGTATTCCAGGAAGTTTGAAAGAAAAATGACCCGAAGAAAGTCTATTCAAAAACTGAAAACTACTCCAGGAGCTTAGTGAGAAATAAATAAAACACTTAAAGTTGGGGGGATCAAATGTACCCTGTATATACTGGTGAAGCCCTGAAGTTCCAGAAGCTCCATCATTTTATATCATCACACTATGAGTAGGGCTACACCATCTCCGAAATTTTCCAACAGACAGCACCAAGCAGCAATTAGGATCACTGATGCATACTTTGCATTGTCTTTCATAGGTGTAATGAATACAAAGGCTCCAAACAACTTTGGGCAGTAGAAGTTGAAAAATACAGTTTTGCTTATATATACACAGTCTATGGAAAAGAAACTTTTTCCTTTTTTATTCAATAAAAATTGAAAACGGCCACAGCTTATAAAGGAAAAAAGAATATTTTTTTTAGTTTAGCATATTTTTACTGCTTATTATTATTATTATTGCTAATATTATTGCTTCTGGATCTCAGCGACTCATCTACAGCCAACAGAAGTGTGTAATTCTTTAAAAACTTCTTATATATAGACTACTGTAGAATATAAACTTGCTTTTCTAAGTCATCATTCATATTCACCTCACAAGTGATTCATTGCACCTGAAAAGTCTACAAATCACTGACTGAAAGTTATTCAATATTGTCTCTTCTCTCTCAGATACTTGCCTGCAAAATACTGTTTATTCATTACAATGTACAGACCTGTCCAATAGTCTTAGCACTTATTCACTGAGTATCCCGAGATTTCTATAAATATTCTCCAACCCTAGAACATCACATAAACACACTTCAAGGAAAACATTCCATGTCAGATGAATCTCAACATTAATAACCATTTTTGAATCTCAACTAGTACTCAAGTACAAACCACCAGGAAAAAAAAAAGGGGGGGGGGGGGAAAGGACAGCTTTCAGCTTTTCATGTTAACTTTTCTTCAGAACTGTTATGAGTTGCACAGATGATACAGATTCTCAATTGTAGGCACAGTTTTAATATTCAGATAATTTAATTTTAGAAAATTAATAGGCCTGTCCTATACATGCCTCTATACTAGCTGTACTTGCACTTTTTTCAGTCACAGTGTTCCTTAATCAGTGTCTGGGATGATATTTAGTTATTATTAAAAGAGTAGTGGAAAACAACTTTGGAATAGAGATGCTAATTTTTTGCGTGTTAATTTATAGCTACAATCTGTTCCAGTTAAAAGCAACTAGACATTTAAAGGATTGTACTTGCAAACGAATATAATTAGTAACAAAAAAATGCATTAAACTTTTGACAAATTTTGAAGTCAAATGTTTACTTGGTGCTTCATTGCTAGAATTTTCAAGATGAATCAGTTTTGACCTATAGGTGTTCATATTCATATAACAATACATTAAATTAATCCTAAATATGCATTAAGTGTACTGTGCTATGCTGAGTTGCTGAACAACTTGTCATAACAACACTTCTTATTATTATTTATTTTCTATATTCTATGGAGATAATACTGCCTCCTTTCCACACTTGTGCTGCAATAAATATTTACCTGTCATACAGAGTTTGCTTGCAATTAACTCTGTGGCTGAGACTGAGCCCTGTGAGCTAGACTGCCTGTTCTCCCAGTGTGTTTCTACCGCAGTAAATAGATTTCCAGTTTTCTTAAAAGGACTCAACATGAAGAAACTTGCTTCACTTTCATGCAGCACAGTTATTCTGCAATTAACATACACCTAAATACTAGTGTTTAGAACAAATGCAAATGCTGCTCAATTAAAATTCAAGCCCAGGCTACAAATGAAACTTCTAATTTTTGCTAAGTTGCAGTAATGACATTAGGTTACTGCGAAAGGCAGAATGTATTTATTTTGGTGCTGTTATTTCCTTCCTTTCCTGCAACCTCCTGCCTCCCCATTCAGGATGCTGAAGCCAAAAAATTAAATTGGAGTATACTTTAAACATCAATTAAACCTGAAAACTAGTGTCATTTCATGAACCACACTCCACTATGGAGAACTACACAAACAGGTATTATGAAGCTATTCTCCTAATTAGGCCATAAAATGGAAAAGATGCACATGAGGAATCAAAGCTACTTAATGTGAAGCTATTTTGCCACTAAGCTTCCAGGCTTCTTATTGTGATATTTAATACAGCTCTAGATTCTAGCAATTAAGATTCAGCAAAAGATTAGAAAGCTCTGTCGATCTCTCCCAATCTAAATGCCTTGTTCTCATTCAAGACACTAAAGATAAACATTTTGCTTCCAGTCAGCTATTTCAAGTATTAAGGGGGAAAAAAAAGAAAAAAGCAACAGGAAAAATTATGTGTAAAAGCTGAACACTCACACCACTCCACAAATGTTTTCTTTACAGCAATTTAAACTTATATGCATTTTCTCAAGTACTTTTTTCAAGTGTTACCCCAAAACTGGTCTCTCCTATCTGACTTTCATCCCACATTTAGTAAATTAACAGTATATTGTTCCAAGGACAGCAAGTACATTCAGAAGAGTCACCCTCTTTGCCACATATGCTACCTGTATTTTTATGGCTTTTGTATACGGGGTGGTGAAATGTTAAAAATCCTTCTATACAATTTTCTGCAGTGCTATTATTTGCTACTCCAAAGAGGGGTCACTGTTTGAAAGAAAGAAGCACTCCTAGCACTGCAACACTTGAAGGAGAAAGGAAGAAGAAATTCCAGTAGGACAAATGGATCCAACCTCAAGGGCATCAGCAAACTGACCACCAACATGTTTGCCTGGGTTTTATGACAGAAAGCCACATTTTAATTTCAAACAATTCTGGAATAATTAAACATTATTTAAAAAAAAACGGAGGCAATGTCATTACGGCAGCAGCGAGGCATTAGCTACGAAAGGACCAGATTGTTAAATTAACTTGCACATATTTTTATGTGCCCAGGCTTTGTCCAGCTGAGGACACCATTTGGTAAATTCTCTGGAACCTAGGGCCACGTATAATTCAAAGAAAGTGGTGTGGACTGCAGTGCTTTCACTTTAAACACAGATACAGACATATTTTCAGAAAGACAGGCAATACATGGCTGGGCCAGCTCTTACATACCTAGGCCACTGTGAGAAGGAGAAGACTTTGAAAACTGAATTCCGCCCAACCAACTTATTATATGTCCTCCACTACTCATCTGCTTCTATTAACCTGACAGTGCAAATTTCTGTATTACTTCTTGGATCACAGAATCATTCTGGTTGGAAAGGACCTTTAAGATCCTAGAGTCCAACTACTCTCTAACTCTTATCAGGCCACTTCTACACCATATCCCTGAGCACCCCAGCTAGACGGCTTTAAATACATCCACAGATGGTGATTCAGCCACTTCCCTGGGGAGCCTGCTCTAGTCCTTGATTAACCATTCAGTGTAGAAAATTTTCCTAGTGTCCAAACTAAACCTCCCCTGGCGTAGGTTAGTACCATTTCCTCTTGTCCTGTCAGGTGCAGCATGTAAGAGGAGGCCAACACCTGCCTCCATACAACCTCCTTTCAGGTAGCTGTAGAGAGCGGTAAGGTCTCCTCTCAGCCTGCTCTTCGTCAGGCGAAACAACCCCAGTTCCCTCAGCTGCTCCTCGTAAGGCTTATCCTCAAGACCCTTTGACAGCTTTGTTGCCCTCCTCTGCATCCTCTCCAGAACGTCAATATCCTTCGTGTGCTGTGGTGCTTTATTATAATATGTGGAAGTGATAAAAACAAAGTATCTCATCAGAATGAGCAGTTCTATGCACGTAGCTTGGTTGCACTTTGCTCAACCCGCCTTTGCCATGTGAGATGTGAGAACAGCCTCACTCTTGCTCCCCCATGACACTGCGATGGCTCTTGGTCCACCAGTGCTAGATGATTTTGCCAACATGGAGAGAAGAGGGCAAAGACTCACACCGTGCCACTTCAATTTCAGCCAGAAAACTTTGTCTGGTTTCTGCTATTCCCATTTAAAAGATAAAAAGGCCACCAAATACTTCCTTGCTACTCTGTATGCATTGCATCAACAAGCTCAAAACTCCTTACAGTAATCTCATAAACCTATACTCATCCAGAAAGCAATTCATTACAACAGTTTTGCTATATTTTTGATCAAATGAAGTTAAACCATCTGTAACTTCTAGATAAGCCTTGGCTATCTGATGCTTCAGAACAGGATATTACTATCAGTGCACCCAAACTAAGCAAGGCCTTTTAGAAAAACATGGTCTTATGTCCCTAAAGACCATGGGCATGCAGTTTGGAAGAATGAGCGAGATCACTACACATCTTTTCATACCTATTCTTCTACTGGCCAGAAAAAGATTGACAGCTAGCAGCACCAGACTAGCATTTAGCCTCACTGCTCCATGAAATTGCTAGGTGCTGGAAAAGTGAAGCAGAATTAATTCCATCTGTAACTACCTTTGAGAAAAGTGACTGGCAAAATGACCTCCTTTTCAGTCTCAGAACACTTTTAGAAAGAGGCCGATAAAAAAAAAAAAAAGAAAAAGGCAAGTTTTAAAAAAATAAAAGCATGATCACACAAGTAACTTATAAAAGTGTATTAGGGAATGATGCTTATGAAACAGACATTCTGAAATTAAAAAAAAAAAAAATTCAAAAGAGCAGAGAGTGAAAAGTCTCTTTCTAAGACTTTTTGTTAGCATTCAGGCTAAACATTTTACTACTTAAACCTTCCCACCATCATCTTCATTCATAAGCTTCTAACCAGCTACAGGTTGATTAAAAAAAATACTGCTGATGTGTGACAAGTTGAAAGTAGTACAACATGAAGGTTAAAAATTCAATGATTTTAATACAACCTCTGATTGAGGTAATTTACCATTCATACTATTTTCATTCAATACGAGTTGTCATTTTACCAGCCCATTCTTACACAGTTCAATAATGATAAGGTTAGCTTTGAAGTGATTCTTTTATGTTAACGACATTCTCCACATGTTGGGTCATACTTCGGGTTAAAGAACTGAAAATGTAAATGAATGCCCATTAGGGTGGGTAATAGCTGATCATTAACTTTATATTTTATTAGATCTGCCAGCCTTACTCTAATTAAAGGACAGTGATTTCTTTTTTTCTCCCAGACACTATAAATGCACTCTTTCAAAGTTAGATGCACATATTTTTGTAACATAAACTCACTGGGTTTTTGTCTTCCTGCACTGTTTCGTTTTGTTGTTTGTTTGGTTTTTTTTTCTGATTTATATTAGTAAATTAATTAGCTGTCATACAGAAAATTTTCATAGTAATTTAAGTAAGCACACTCCTAATAATCTTATTTTTTTATTTTAGAAAGGAAGGAAGATGGAGAGTGTTCCAATCTGTGAATGCATATGAAGGCAAAAAGCCTGGAAAAAAAAACATGATTAAAGGAAGTTATTTCTATTCTTTTAAAATCCTACAATTATCTTCTGCTACTTTTAATCATTTTTGAAAGGAATTAACTGATGCTGTTAACATCCTTTATGTACAGCAATAGTTTACTTACAAGTTTCCATGCCTTCATCATCATCATCTGCTACAGGTTTATCGTATGACTTGTCTATGGCAGCTCTGAAGCTTTCATTGCAGCCGCGTCCTCGGATGATCCGTGGGCGCGGGCGGTGGAAGGGAATGTCACCATTCAGAGTCACCTCAGCAACGGCTGTCTGCAGGCTCTCTAATGAGCTGGATTTCTTCAGACCTAATGAAGGCCCCACATCTCTGGTTGGGGAACCTTAGTGATTTAAAGGGGAAAAAAAAAAAGTAATTAGAATTAGCATTGAGAACTGCATGCTTGATTATGCATATCCAGCCTGAAAGTCTTTGGGGATACATTTAAGATTATTCACATCATCTCTCAATAATCTGTAGGGAATTCTCTGCGGATATGTTGGTCTCAGAAGTGAATGAGTATGTCAAGTCATATTCAATGAAACTGACGTTAGCAATGTCTGGCTTTTCAAATCAGTGAAGAGAGACAAACATCCACTACTATTATTTTAAACAATTTGAACGATAAAGTAGTCATGAGGCTTTAAAAACGTAGCTCAGAAAAACAGTAGGGTCATATCTACCAGCATCAAACAAAACTATTAATTATTTTTGTTCTGAGCAGAAAATTTCATCTGTACAGACGAGCAGGGAGCAGATTATGGGCATTAATCCTGCTGTGTTTAGACTAGGAGTCCTGCAAAGTCGCCTGACTTCTGGCTTCAAGGAACATACCATTTGCTTTTAATCGAGTTTTAAAGACTCGCATCAAATTGCTAACAATTTCACAACAAAATACTTCTGAGAAATATCAGTTGACTTGCTAGGATTTTGTGTAGTTTAAAAATATCTGTGGAAAGGACCCAATTAGCTGGGCAATGCTAGCTACACAGCTGGAAAAGAAGCACATTCCTGGCAGCCACCAGGTTGGTGTTTGGGCAACACCACAGCTGGGGCTGAGGGCAGCTCTTACTGCTGCAGCATGTCCATGGGTGTGCCAAGAAAGCACCACACAGTATTCTGCAAAAGTCTTTCCCCATCCAGATTTTTCTTCTCAGGTTTGTGGACTCTGCGTCTAGCCCCTGGTTTTAGATACACTCACGGTGCAAATCAGCTGACAACTGCACAGTTAGATGTCATAGTTAAAACTAGAAGAAATCTTTCAAGGGAAAACAACCCCACTGCATTTATTTGACGTGATTTTATTAGAAAGTGCAGTACAGTCTTGGAGAGATTCTCTATAGGATTTGGGGCTAGAGAGCAAGATAAGGTGGGACATCATCATAGCTACATTTCCTGAAGTTATGAGAACAGAGCCCCCACCTAGAACATGGAAACCTCATCTTTACTCTACCAAAAAGAAGCAGAACGGAGTGTTGTGGCACCACAGCAGTCCCAAGCAGTGGGTTCTTACTCCATTGATACCAGTATCCTCATCTGACAGAGGCACAGAAATACAAATTTCAAAGCCAGCCAGCACTGACAGACAGAGCCAAAAACTGAATCCTCAGGGATACCAAACCAATGAACAATACATTTGTAAGCATGGTCTGGTGTGAATAATGCAATAAAGGAAAATTATCTTTTTAAAGTATTTATCTCAGAATAACACAAATCTCTGGAGTTGTTCTCTGTTCTGTTACATATGAAGAGGGAAAAGAGAGGCAGTATCCATCACCATTCTGTAACAAAGGCATGTGAAGTTACCCTAAACTGGGGAAAACTGCTCCTACCCTACTAAAACCACTTCTTTCACTGTTCAGTATTGGGTGGGGAGGAAGAGGGTTGCTGGACCTACAGAAGGGATGCAGAAGGCAGCCTGGCAAGTCTTCTCTATGTCATTTGTTAACTTGGTATGAGATGAAGGAAGGCAGCAAACACTTTCCTTTCCTCTTCAGCTATTAAAATTCTGAGCAATTATGTTAAACTGAAATCTCTCAGATCAAATAAATTCAAGCAGCAGCTGTCAAAGTATTCCCCTTCAGTGTCCTACTGATGAGATGAACTTGTAAATAGAAACAAAGCAAAAATCCTCTTTCACAGGTCTACACAACTTCTGCAGTTTGGTTACCCCAGCAGCCTGGAGCCCTGCTGGCTGGGATCCTCAGTAGAAATAAACAGACTCCAACAAATGAGAAATTTTATCTCGATGAACTCACACGTCACGGAAGAAGCCACCCTCTCACTCAGCCTGTACTTGTTGGAGGGCCGAGCATCATGAGGATGGCTGGGGACATAGTGCAGCTGCTGGAGTGAACAAGAGCAGCAAGCTGAGACAAGGAAGGTTTGACGGCTTCCCAGCTGTGCAAACAAGCTGCAGTCCAGGTTCACCCAACTTCTGAATATGGGCTGAAGTCTAAGGCAAGTATTGCTACATAATTTATAAGTGTGCCCTCGATTAAGACAGTGCCCTATAAAGCTGTCCACTTCCTAGCACATGCCAAAACCTGCTATTCCCCCACTAATGCCTGCAGTAGTCAAGAAATAAGATTTTGGTTTTTACTTTTCAAGATTGCAGTTTGTTAAAAAACAGTCCATCAGACAGGAAAAATGAATGCAGTATTTTGAAGGGAAAAAAGGAGGAAATGGGACAATCACATATAAACCAGCTGCTTGACAGATTCAATTTCAAATACAAAAGGAAAGGGTATCCCCTTACATGGCAACTTACTGTAAACTTCCTTATTCCAGATTCTGCTTTGCAGCCTTCTAAATGAAATTCTCATCTCTGTTTTCCTAATTACCGAGTGGCTCTTTTTGTAAACAGTAATTATAAAGAAGGCATTTATTCACACATTTATGTTCATAAAGGATACTAAAAAAAATTCCATTTCCTGCCACCCAGTACAGAGCTTTGTGAGAACTGTATTTATGTAAGTTGTGCTTTCCCAAAGGAAAAGTTAGATGGGATATGACTTAATGTTCCTTGAGTACTGTAAAACTAATAATGGATTACAGAAATGATAGGAATATTTATTGAACTTGGGTGGCCTTGAACACAAATGTGGACAAGTTGCAGAATTTGAAAGAAGGAAATGTCCTCTTGCAAGCAATTTAAGCACCGTGATCACAAAGCTATGTATATTTTAACACCTTCACTATCTTCTATGACCACTTCATAGCAAGTCTGCTATTTTCAAAATATATGGTTAAGTCTCCCTGTAAATTGAGTGACTTCAGAATTTATTACTAGAATTCACCAGCCAGAAAGTAAGTTGTGTACCCATAATCCAGTGAGAAACAGCAAACTTTCTTTAAAATTGATTCTGTTTAAAATTTATGAGTCACATCAAAACCTTGTTTTCTAAATACAAAAATGTCAGCATTTTCTTCCAGCCTTTACAGTACTGGTCATAATCATCAGAAATGTTATCTGCTCAGAACGAGTTCTATTTTGACACCAGAATTTAAAGTAAAAAAAAAAAAAGGAAAAAAGAGAAAATGACACATCTACCTAAAGGATCTTTATATGACTGAGGGATGAAAGTGATTCTTTTATCATTTTTAAAATTTAAAGTTTCTCAAAATTTCCCTTCCGAACAATTTTCTTAATAAATATCCTTTGAGGTAGATTCATCCCTCTGTACCCCAGCATCCTCTCTGCGGTGCTCCACTGAGCTCGGCCGTGCAGCCCTGCCCTACGTGCCACGCTCCCCCACCACCGCCCAAGGGCGTGCAGCGTGCTCAGCGCACAGCCCCTGCCCACCACACGTGCAGCCCAGCCCCGGGGACAAGCCAAGCCCGGCCCCCAGCCCACGCTCGTGCCGGACGGTGCCGGCAGCGCGCACCTGCTCCCAGAGGGCGCAGAGCCCCCCCACCGGGCTTCACAGCGCCTGCAGACCCAGCCAGGCTTGCCACGCACCACACCATGGGAAGCCCACGTGTGAGCCCTGCTCCAGACTCTTTGTGTCTCCTCGTGCTGACACTGTTCAACAACACATTGTGCTTCCATTTCTCTCGTCTTAACGTTAAGAATTTATACAGTGCCACAGATCCGCTTGGGCAATTTTTCAAATGCAAGAAGGATGGTGTCACAGGAGATAGGATGGTTCTTTCAGTGCTCCCTTCAGTGCTGAAATTTAAAGGCTCCAAAGGAAATTTTTCATCAGCGCTTTCTTTTAAAAAACAATTTAAAATGTCAATTTTGTTTCTTTCTGAAACATTTTTATTTACCCTCAGACTAAATGCTACCAGTAACTGATGCCAAAAACTTCCCTCCAGTCAATGAAACCAGTTTTGCAAAGGTACAAAGTTTACTTTCTAAGCAGTCTCTTAAAGGACACAATGAGTCTGTAATTTACTTAGATCTGGTCCACTATATTGGATAAATTTGTCTAGGTCTAGTTCAACTGATACACTAAAAGAGTAACTCTTGGGCTGGGGTGAGCAAGGGTGGAACAGAGAAAGCAACTGCATGAAAAATAATTTATTTTGGTTCCATTTAATAAAACAGTTCATGTAAAAAGCGTCATGTAAAAATAAACAATTTAAATAAATGTTCTTCTGATTCGTTTTTCTTTCTTTTTCATTTTCACAATGTGTACATGAAAAAATAGCCACCTAGAACTATAGTATGCTTGGGACTCAATAAATGATCCATGCTCAATTGCTACTGAATGTACTTCTAACCTCTAGGATGAACTGTAAACACTGCAAGGATTAGTCACTTCAAGTGAACTATAAAAAGAAAAATAATTAAAAATCTATTATGGTAACTAGGGTTGGTGAGTTATACACTCTCCTTTTCATCCAATACTATCAAGTCCAACTTTGACTGTAACAGAGTTTGCTTTTATTTTTTCTAAAGTAAATATATGCTGAAGTTTTCTGGCTTCTAGAGTTCATTAAAACATAGTTCACAACACATTTGAAGCAATTTTTTTTTCTTAGAACCAGATGATTTGTAAGCCAAACTATAGTAAGTGGTTTGTTTAACAGCCACATCCATCTTCAGTAACAGGAGAAATCCGATGTTTATATACAAAACCTGCTTAAAAGCACGCAAGATAAATAAAATAAAAGTACAGTAAAAGGTGTTTTTCCTTTTCTCCAGCCCCTGAGCTTGGTGTGGACAAGATATGTAACTGCTTAGTCCAGATGGTTACAGTCACGCTCTTTCACCCAAGTTGTCTGACTTGTGTCTTTTTTTGAATTTAATCCAGGTGTTACATGTGCAGAAAGTTACACTCGATTAATACCACCCTCTAGTGATATCACCAAAAACATTACGTGCTTTTAAACCCTAAGCATCATATTTTACTAAAACACTCAAGTTTTACAGTATTCGAATCACATCCCATTCAAATAGGCAGGCTAATAAGAAAATGAAAAAAAATTTACAATAATTTTGAGTTTGATCTATAACTCCTTTTTATGTGAATAATGCTCAGGGGTGAAGGCAGCTCCTAAGCACTGATTATTACCGCAACCATTAACACAATTCATGCATTCACAGTCTGATGGCTTTAATCCTTCAAAAGTATAATACATTTTAATTTCATGTACTCATTCTCAATTTGTAAAGCTGCAAGTCTGTGGCCATATTCTGCAACAGTTGAAGAGCTACAGATTTTAGCTCTTTAAATAAAAAGTATAATTTTTATCACTTGGTTATCTACAGCTTTTCAGTATTCCTACTTATGTTGTAAACTGTGGTCAAAAAGAGGTGCAGTTGCAAATTATTAACTGTAAATCCTGTGTGGAATGCCCTACTCCCCAAATCATGCTAAAATAAATAATATTTTTGGGTTAAAAAGGTGGATTGTTCCTAATTAGAGATAAGTAATGTTATGGTGTCCTCTGGATCTAGCCTAATTAAAATAGCATTCCAAAGGTCAAAAGCTAACTTATATTAATAAATCATAACGGTTCATAACTGCAGTTGTTGCATTATTTTAATTACTACTAAAAAATATGCTTTGAAAACTATTTCCCATTATCATTGCGTGAAACGTTACAATTGATGGTATGTGGAGAAGATTCTGTTTACATATTCTTTTGTTCTGTTACAATGCTCGGGTTTCAGATCCAAAGGCAAATCGACTTGCACAAATAATCTTCCAACTCAACTCACAACATGTATCTGATGACTACTTAAGGCAAAGGCAGCAGTTTTCTAATTAAAATAATTACTTCCAAGCACTGTGCTAGCACTGTAATAGCCAAACATTTGACTCTTCTAACATCATATCTCTGCACATTAGAGCTTGAAGCTAGGAGATCCAAACAAGCATGAATATTTATGAGTTCAAAGTGTAGAAACAGGTGTCTACCTATAGTAACATGTATGACCTGGTTGAATACACTACTCTAGATATCTATCTCTATAGAGAATTTTCTTCTTCTGTACGACTTGATTATTCACAACAATAGAAAGCAGCCATGCAAGTACTGGAATATTCATGTTTTCATGCAATTTGACTGGCAGTTCTGTAATTGTGGTAAGCTGCTTTGACCAAGGTTTCTATAGCAACAGCCTTACTGTCAATTCTTACCTGTTTTCTGGTCATCCATTGTACTGAGCTTAGTCTCGTCAGCTACTGTTAAAAGGTAAATGTATAACCGTTAGCCCAGTTAGTGTCCATGCCCCACATGCATCCAACATTCCTTCTGTTTCATATACATATTTTTTTAAAAGTTAGGGAACCCTAGCAATGTCATATTTCATGCAAATAAACTGCAACAGTAAGCAAACATTCTAGGTAGAAAAGGCAGCAAACTAGTAACCTTCATGCAATGTCAGTCATGTTCACATCACAGGCAGGTACAATGTGTTATTTACACGTTAGCACATCACAACCAGTCAAGACAAGCCAATAGCACCAACGTTACTGTCCCCTGAGGAAGTTGGTGAATTACGGGTTGTAGTTAAGATATTAACAATTATTGTAAAGGAGCAAATCATATTATATTTTATTATACTGAGTAGGGAATTTTGTGTGTTTAAACAATCAAGACTCACTGTTTAAGGTTACTAGAGTCTGCACTTCAGAATCCAAGTTCAATGGTAGAAAAATAGATGGGCTCATTAGCAATTACTTTATCTCAGCTGTTTCATCCATTAAAATTATTATAGCCGATTGCCTGTCTTAGCAACTGCTGCTGTGTAGGGCTTCTGATACAAATATTAAAACCTGTATCTCAAACAGATGTCAGACTAGTCCCCTTGTCTAATTCTGAATGAACTCTTAAAAAAATAATACTTGCATCTTTAATATCTTAATCAAAATCCATCTACAAAATGAGAGATGATGAAGGATCCTTAAGACCAATTGCATTATAATCATGAACTGAGGATAATCCTGTTTACCCAAAACCACAGTGGTACAGTTTTATGCAGTTACTCTATATGGACTGGTAAATGCACTTTTCACCTCTATTTTAATAAATACTTTTAATGTCTGTGTATAACCATATATCCAGAGGGCTACGATATTTAAAAGTATGGACATTTGCAAGTAGTACAAACAATACACAGGCCACTTAGCCATTCATGTTAAGAATACTTTACTTTCAATCAATAGACATTATGTGCTGTAGTACTGCACATAAACAATGGGTTTGGAATGACAAAATCTATATACTTACAACATGAAAATCAGGTTCAAATAAAACAATTGAAAAATATCACTCACTACCTAGATCCATGCTTTTGGATTTTCGTGTTTTAACAAACTCCAACTGACTGGCATCTGAAAATTGCTTTGTACGCTTTTCTGACATGCTCTGGCGTCCAAACCCTTCTCGCTGGAAGGCAAGCACTGGATCAACATCTGGACTAAGAGTGCTGTAGGAAGGGAAAAAAACCATGCGAACATTTATCAAGACCACGCAACCTTTCACTCTGCAGAGAAAAGCATTTATTTAGCACGTGACTTCTACCAATGACAAAGTGCACATTTTTAAATAACCCACTGCAAGGAGTCAGTAACACACTCGATGGATTTTTTTCACTGTGTTGAGCAATTTTAGTTAAAAAGTATCAAGAACTTCACTTACAAGCTTTAATGAGAGATATACATATCTGGTACATTATACATACACTATTGGAACATACAGTCCCAACACAGGAATAATTTGAGGAAGAATAAACCAGTTCTTTTTTCTTCATGAGAAATAAATATGTTCAGCTGATAGCAAATTACCAGAATTTTTTCATCATGACAAAATGGTTTTAGTAGAGCATAAATAAAATCTGTCCTGATTGAAGCCCACAGAGCACTAAACTTCTCCATTTAAAGGCTTAGAATTAAAATTTCTCTCCATATGTGAAATTGCTTGTAAATTTTTCACAGGATCTCCTGTTTTTAACCTGGCTATAACAGACAAATATATTTTCACTCATTACTTCCCCATAGAGCCAGTATTCGTCACAATGGTTCCACCACTGAATCAGAAATGAGGGTAACTGGACTGAGTTTTGGTCTCTTCTGCAGGTTTCTTGCATTATCTCAGCTGAGTGAGTCGGGTTCTCAGCAAAGGGTGATCAGCTGATCGGAACCACGCTTCATTGGAAGCAGGCTGAAGACAGAGGTATCCATTTCGGTCAAATGTTGGCAGAATCATTAATGCAAGAATGAAGATCAAATCCTGTGTGGAAGCTAAACCCTAGGCTTGCAGTGTGTCACCATGGTCACAATGTGTGTTAAAAACCCTTTTAAAAAATTGCAAGATTGCTTATTGTTAATAAACAATATGAAAGGAAATTCACACAAAGTTCTTCTGACTCCTGCAAGAAGGGAGAGTATTAGAAAAAGCCTGCAGGTAGGCCTAAAGAATTTAAGAGTACTACTCCAGCTGGCACAAAAAGAAATCAAAAGCATAAAACAGTGAAAAAATTAGTATATTGCACTGTTGTTATCTATCTATAGGAAAAAGATCCTCAAAATCCCACCCCAATTGTTGTTCCACTAAATAAATTTTTTTAAAAAATTGAAAGCTAAATATTTTGTCACTGAGATCTCTAAATAGATTAAGTGTTCCAAAGGAATTATTTTCTACTTTAAGTGCTAAGTATAACACACATCTCATACCTAGTGAGAAACAGGACAATAGTGAATTTCTGCAGAAATCAATTTATACTTCTAAAATTCTCTAACATGCACATGTTTTTGTATGCCATGTGCTATAATTTATAGAAGTATCTTTGATCAATAAACAGCTGGGTATTCGGCACAAGAGCAACGAGAGGTAAAAAAAGTGTCCAAAGGCATCAAGTACTATAAAGGATGAAAATCACTATCCACATTGCCAGGCAGCCTGGAAAAAATTCAGTCTAGTAGTGGCAGATTTACAAATAATACGATAGGTGCATGTGACAAGCACATAATACTTAAGTGAGAGCAGGATCAGAGCTTATATGAATAAAGTCAATGTCAAGTGCCTTTTGACTTTAATGTTTCTGGCTCAGGCTCATAATGTTTTACATTTAATTACTGCAACTATTTCAAAGATGTCTGCACAATTTAGCACTGTTTTGAAGCATATGCTTAAAAGCTCTGATGAATCAGAGACCCAACTCAAAAATAACTATTTAGTACTCATATTGACTCCCACAAAACAGGGAAAAATTATCTGCATGCAATGGAAAGATAAAACAGACAAGGCTAATATGCGCTTCTAGCATTTACGGCAGCGCAACATTCAGCTGAAAAAAACCCACCTAAGTCTGAAAACATCCTCTGAGTGACTCAGCTGAACTTACAGGGTTTCAACACCTTTCATAATCAGATCATACATGACTTTCCCAAGGCCACACAGGAGTTTCTGGCTCATTGCTAGTCAGCCCTGTCTCTGAAGGCTGGAAAAATGTGGTTTTACTAAGTGAGAATTTTCTCTAGCAACAGCTGTTAACACAGTTCATGTTAGTTAAAGATTACCAGTTTCATCTTGCCGAGCAAAATGTATCCTGCAACACTCTCTTCAAACAGGTTGAATTTCTGAGACTAATTTTTTTGGCTCTATGCTCCTTTTTTTCATGTGAGTTTACTTTGATCCATATATGTAAAGCTTCTAAAAAAGCTAAATATCATGTTTATGTAAATACAACATACACATATATATTCAACTCGAAAACCTAAGAACAGACTAAAAGTCCAAAGTTAAAGAAAACTCAAAAAGGGCACCACAGGTCCCAGAGAGAGCAGTGTGGTCTGGACATGGTGTCAGCAACTGGGAATTCTGGAGACTAGATCCCAGTGTTTCCACTGCCTTAAGGGGCTTTCTCTCTGCTTGCCTTATCTGCCCATATCACATCTACCTTCCCTCACACACTTATTAGGGGGACTGTTAATCCCCGTTTGCACAGTATCCTGCATAATAAATTCACTACTTAGCACCAAAAATTACTTGCTCTTTGACACCATGATATCTTTTTATGGTACAAATATCTGAGCCCTATGTATAGAGTCACCAGTTTTCATGTCCTGGCTTGTTTCTGTTATTAATGACCCACAAGCCTGTTTTAGTAATTCAGGAAGGAGCAGCTTACAGGAGTTTCGATGTATCTGCATTGCCTAGAAGTTGCTGTGACGATCCACAACTGGAAAAGCCAGTGAGCACAGAGAAGGAACTAATGGCACTAAAAATGCCTCATTTTAATATTTTTCAACTACATTAAGAAAAGACAGAAGGCAAATTTAGTGCAAGTCATTAAGTTATGCCAAATGCAATTTACTATATTCTAGCATACTTAACAAATAAGATTTCTGGAATGACAGCTGATCCTTAAAAGAATGTAACCGTCTTCTGACCCTCAATGTTATTAAAATTCCACTTATTAATCCTGTCTTATTGCCCCTTTGTTTTCATAACATTTTCATCAAGGATTAGGGAGATATTGTGAGACTGGGAAAGCTTACATTTTCTTCTGTGATTCAGAACAGCTGCCATTCTTGTTTGGATAACCCTTCATCCATATTCTTAGTTTTACCCTTTGTGCCTTCCAGCAAATTCATACAATGCACCTTCGCTTTACAAATCTTCCTCTATCCATTAGTAGCAGGAAATTAATGCAACAATCTAATTCTACCGCTATTTACTTTTTTTACAAATAGAATACATTAGATAGTAAGGTGCTGCACTGATCTACCCTTTTAAGTGCAATTGTATCTCGAGACCTTCACAATTTCTCATACAAACATTTAAAGGTTTTGAGCATCACCAGTTCTACAATACCTAATCCCTATTTTATTTACTGTTACTCTTATTTTCAAAGTAGTATATGAATAGCAAGATACACTGCAGAAGTAAATGTGAAAGCATTTGCAGGTTTCAAACAGGCTCTTACTTTATGCTGTGGGTTTTTGCTCTTATTTGGCTAAAAAAATTCCCTCAGAAATAAGCAATTATGTGCAGCCTTGAGTACTATTCTATGTAAACAGCTAATTTTTCAGATTCTCAGCTCTAAAAGTTTACAAAAGACAGATGGACTTTTCAAGAGCCAAAATTACAGGTATGACTTGTCCAAGAGAAAAGCTATAATATTAAACAAACAAACAAAAAATTAAAAAAAAAAAAAGGAGGGATAAAAAAAGTTACCTGTTTGTAGAACCATTAAAACAGTGCTTAAAATACAGAAATCAATTCCTCGACAGAAGATGAAATAAATTAATAGAAAGTAATCAAGAAGCTGACAGGTGCATATCAGCTGGAAGGTGCTATTGCTGTTTTATTAAGGTATTGCTGACACATTCATAACAGGCTCAAGAGACTAGAAAAATATGAAACTTCATATACTTCACACCATTTGTGGTAATTATCCAGCTTGAAGAAGTGGCAGTGTACAGGGGTGGGCTTTTATTTTGCTATTACTATAGATAATTACAGGACTTGCAAATTAAATCTTAGATCTGTATTAACAGCACTAAGCAACACAGAGTATTTCTTTGTCAGGAACCTAAGCAAGTCAATAATGGAGCTCAATGCATTTCTCATTCAGATTCTTATATTAAAATGTATAAAAGTAATTAGAGAGTCAAACTAAGAGTCAGAGAAATCATTTTTACTATCGATTAAACATATAAGGTTACTTTCCATAGTTTTAATTGTGGAACTGTTTCTTTGCCTATTTTAAAACCTACAGCTATTACAGTACACTGCCTTTGTTTAAGTTACAAACCATAGAATGATATGAAAGATATTTCTTCATGTATAGTAAAGAAATCCTAACTAGTTCTTTGTGCACAAGCATCAACACTTCAACAAATCAAAAAGCTGCTGTGACTTCTAAGCAGATTTTAAAATATCTGTATATTGTTAGGCAAATCAAGAAAGTATACAGAAGTATTGAAAGGCTCCTACATATATACTGGAACCCAAAAGTAAAATCTTTGTTTATAGACTTAGAAATATTTACAGTGATGCTTATAAATTAAAATTTCCAATTAGAATTATTCTTTCATAAAGTGAAGTGTTTATATTTTGCAATTATTTTTTTTTTACAAAAGCTAGTCCATTTGGCATCATATCAAATCATCAAATTAACACAGCCATATATTGATTTGGTCTTAATAACGATTAGTAACGGTTCCACAAACGTGCTTTGACACAGAGCACAGAACTGCAGCCAGAACTAGAAAGTCTAATGAATTGTCTATACAGACTTCCTTCTTGAAACAGGGACAATTACCAGTTTGGAAATAGTGAAATCTTACTATTAGCAGTAGCCAAAAAATAAAGGAAATGACATATCTGCAGTCATCTCTTTTTTCCTTCCACTCAGCCATGCTCTTACCAGTCTGTTGATTCATTAATTGCAGAGTTAGCCCATCCACCCGCATCGACAGTGCCAAAGCCAACATCATCGTGGGAGCTGGATGACGACTGGTCAGAGAGATGAGGAGGGAGGACCGACAGCCTGTCATCTTCAATAATGACAGTGTCATCTTGGGGCATGTTCACTGTGGGAGACAGCTGATATTTACCTGAACAATAAAAAGGAGAAGAAACCCGAAAACTAAATAATGGCAGAGAGGGCCTTGAATAATATACAATCACAGCTGATAAAACGTTGTGTCAAACTGCAATCCTACTGATAAGAGTGACACAACACTATGTCTCACTTTATACTCATCTTCCTATGCAGAGGTCTGAAAAGTAATATACACCAGTTGTATCTGCAGCCTACAGCAAGGAGACCACAAAACCACAGAAGAGCTGAGGTAGGAAGGGACCTCTGATCTGATCCAACCTCCCCTTGGATCGAGCAGGGGCACATACAGAGAGTTGCTCAGGACCCTGACCAAATGGCTTTTGAATTTTTTTATTCTACCATATCCCTGGGCAACCTGTGCCAGTGCTTGGTCATGGTCATAGTGAAGAAATGTTTCCTGATGTTCAGAGGAAACCTCCTATGTTTCTGCCTGTGCCCCTTGTCTCAGGTCCTGTCACTAGGAGGTCATCACTTCTCTTGATCAATCTCGCCCTCTTGAAATTTGAAACATTTGACTGCTAATGGGAATTTAGAACCCTTTCATAAATGCCTCCACAATGGTAAGAATTGTGAAAAGTGATGAGAAATCACAGCTAAAGCTAAATGGTTCTAAACACTGATTTTCTCCTTCAAAAAATAATCTAGAGGCACACATGTAAAATTTGGGGAAAAAAAATTACCGAGTTCTATCACCACCAAATGAAAATAAATGTTAACAATGTTGTTAAAATGCTTAAACTAGGGCCATCACATACATGAAAGTGAAATAATAAAGATTCAACATTACTCCTTGTTCAACAGCAGTCTTCATTGGATTAATCTGTGAAAGCAGTAGATAAAAGGTGATATTTAGAGCATTCTTACAAACTAGTAAAACACGGCTTCCAAGTAAAAATCAGTGTTAATGTGTGTATAAGTAGTAGAAATACACTACCACTGCTGCTTTTATGGGGATAAACATATACACACAGTTATATTTTCCATTAGTCATTTCAATGCGTAAGATTGTACAATTTTCAAACTGCTATATAAAGAGTAGAAGGAACTTATAAACCTATAGAAAACTTCATGCCACCAAAGCAGACTAAAAAGCTATAAACGACATCAGAAGGAATATTTTCATTGCAATGTTTTGTAACACAACTATGGTTTAAACTGAATAAATCAGTTTTTCAGGACACATGCATGAGACACAGAGTTGCGAGGACAGGGGTTATATAATATTATTTGGAAGACAATGGAAAAATAGAATTATCATCGTTTAAACTTTTAACTTGAAATAAACAGTGGTTATTTCAGCATTTAGAAACATTAAATTAAAACTTGCTCTAAGGAAAATAAAGATTTACAAATCTGGATGAAAGTTAACTGAGGTAATGACTAATTATTTAATTATGATTCTCTCATATTAGCTGTGTATCATTTTTTATGTGATAGAATATCTTTTAAAACTTTTTTTTCCTCCTGGATATTGATGCTTAAATTAAGAAGGTCTGTCATCTAAAATGTTTGGTCCTAACCTTCACTATATGTGACATTATTTCTAATGCATGATCATGACATTACATGAATTTTATCCCTGCAAATGCATTATCTTACTAAAACAATTAGTAAAATTGTCACATCTTGTGAGATGAAAGGCACTAGCTTAATCAACCATTAATCTGACAACAAACTGTAAATTAGTCTAAAACTATGATGCACTGCAGTAATAATATATAGCAAAACTTGTATTTCCATAGCATAAACTGCTTCTGTGGACACATCAAATATTTTCACACTGTAGTTTTACTACAGGTATGGAAAAAAATGTGTAGAATTGAGAAAAAGAATTTTTTTCCTGGAAAGGTTTGAGTTACCATCACTACCTTAGCATGCGATTACTAAAACCCAAACAAACAAAACCTTATCCATAAAGAGCTAGACAGAATCATCACTGCACTAGATAAGACATTTTGTTTTGCTTTCCAAAGCAGAGGAAACTGCCTTTGGAAGAGTTTGTTGAAGAAAGCTGAAGAAACGTCTGGACTAAAAAGGTACTGCATGGTGAACATCTCATCACTGTCAAACAGAAATGAATGTATTCAGTTTGCATAACAGCTGATTTTTGCCCAGCAATAGCTTCTTTGATGGACAGGTTAATGTTTAGCCTGGTAATGTACTTCTTTCCAAACATAATGCCTACAAGACTGTTAACTCTGTAGTTAATAACGTCTCCAAAGAATTGATTGTGAAAAGGTATAACCTTGTGGCATTCGGCAGATTGAACTTCCCATTTGAGAGGCTACAGTAATTGGGTAACATTTTTAACTTTTCACTACCCTTTTTTATGTCTGACAAGGGTGAAGACTGACATTTTAATGGTTGCTTTGGAATTAAGGAGAAAACCCATCTGACGTGCTTATGCTTTTCACTGCAGATGAAGCTAAAAACAGGTGAAAGGCTTCACCTCCAGCACATGGTTAGACAGGGCTCAGCAACGGACTCAGTGCATCCTTTCTAGAGACTCAGCTGGAGTGGACACAAAATACCCTTGGAGAATGCAACTCGGCAAGTGTTGTGAGAAGCATTATAAGGAAACATTAAAGGTCCTTTCCAAACTAAACAATTTGATGATTCTTTGAAACATCAAAGGAACTTCAAACGTAGTAATCATCAGTATATTTGAGTGATCTACAAATCTGAGATGCTGCTCAAGCTGTCTACAAACCTGTACAAGACAGTAATTTTCCTTCAGGCTAGAAAAGTGCTATAAAATTTAGACACTGAATACACTTCAAGTCCAGTTTTGCATATATTAATTCAACTTCAGAAAGGCAATCTATAATAATATAAACTGGTTTGGACCGTGTAATAGGGAAGGGAAAACATTCTCCCTTTCAAGTGTGGCTCATCTCAGGACAGTGAGGCTCAAATTTCTTGAACAAGTTACCAATCTAAACAAGCATAGCCTCAGGACCATACCAAACTATGGTGTAAGCAGGGTTCCCACCTGTCTGCACAGAAAAAGAAGTCTCAGAGTACCAGTACCTGGCTGGTCTCCAGGACTTTCAACTTAGAAGGAAAAATACACTAAACTGCACACTTCAAACCTATAATAATATAGACCTATAACACATGAGAAAATAGTTTGGACCTGAATTTAATCGTCAACACAAAACACTCCCAAAAAAAGCGTGCATAAACAGTACGTAATGAACAACAGGCTTACTCATGAAGAACCCAACTATTCCAGCTTCATTTAAATCTTGAAAATCCCTGAAATTTGGTTAATTTGTTTGCTGTGGTAACTTGGCTCCCATACCATGTACTCGTCCACAAGTAGATGTCCTTTCTTGTTCTGACACGGCAAGTGATTCCTAACTTGCCTGACCAACAAACCAACAACAGCTACTCTGTGATGAAGAATTATTAACCAAAATAATAAATAGAATAATAAATTATTGAAATAATAATACAAGAAAATAGTGATGATGATGACAATGATAATAGTGATGACATTTCCTACAGGAGGTATACAGGGAATTTCTCAATAAGAAATTAGAACTTTTCCAGTTATTGATTTTTTAATTTTTCACTAACAGCATATTTGTTCCCAGCAATATACCAAGCTTTGGCAAAATTTCCCATGTACTCATATCATCTGATTTTCCAAGCTAGACATAGGTAGGATTGGGAATATTTGTCTAGGGATTGTCTAAGGATAAAAATGTCTCCACTATATCCAGGCTTTGGATTTCAAGAGTGCTTCAGATCTGTCAAGACTGTTGTAGCAGATCACCACATTCTGACGAGAATCCTGACCAGGGAACTGCATTCTGCTTGTAAAGGCTTATTTTCATTTCATTGACACACACACTCTACATCTCTATATGATTTTTTTTTTCAGTAGTGCTTCCTCCTGATTCTATCCTTAAGATAGCAATTATTTATGTAGAGAACAAAGTATTTCTTGTTGTGTAGGAACTATCAAATTTTACAAAGTTCTGGGGGATCCTTCAGTATGAAAAGCAGATTTCAGTGCAAGCTATTGTTATTCTGTGTACCCCCTGATAAATAACTTCTGTTTAGTCACTGTTAGCAACAAAACCCACCGTGTTCATAAAAAAAATTATCAGTAACCAGAAGAAAGAGATGAAAGAGGACTTTGTACTAAGCTGTTTGTTGAATAAAAATAATTTATATAGACACCAGCTACGTATATGCGTATTGTAAAACTCAGGAGCATAACAGATGACATAAAAGAACGGTGTATCAGAAGAAGGGACTTGAATTTTTAACCACAGAGCCACACAAACTAGCATAAACCTAAGGTTTTATTATAGCCATCTAATTCTTAGAGGAAAAGGTCCAATTTGTGTAAATAAAAACCCACCTTATCAAAACCAAAAATATCATTCCCTGAAAACACAAATCAGTATCTCTTGTCCATCATAAATTTTCAGTGAAATATTATGAAGTGAAAAAGCATAAGAAAATTTGTAATAGCAATAATAATAATCTGGAAAAGCAGATGAACCTAAGAATCATCAGAAACATGAAAAGACTCATGCAGCCTTTTTGCAGTAAGCAAACATTATTCTACATAATTTAAGTCACGTTCTAAAATTGGTATTTCATTCTCACGCTCACAACAAGGTTCTGACAATCAGTTCTTGTTGTCAGTTACGGACTGAAAGACTAAGGAAATTGTCTTAAATGCCTTTCCTGAAAATTACATTACATGTATTTAAAAGAAACAAAACACTTTTAAAAGTTTTGTTCCAACTTGAAGCAACAACTGAAAAGAGCGGGCATTTTCCAGACCTTCAGATTATCACTTTTGAAGAGTTTAATTTAGGAAGAAAGGAAACTGATAATCCATGAATTTTATCTGAGAGTGAAAGAAGACAACCTTCTCCTCCACACATGAAATCAAGCTGTGACCTCCTCACCACGAAGTACTGAGAGTACTAAAAGTTTACATAGTTAAATTCATTGAGGGGTAAATAAAAAGACATCCAATGATTCAGAGAGCCCATAAGTCAGAGGGCTCCTCGAGGCGGGCAGAGCAGCCCTGCTCAAAGGGAGCCAGCACTGCACAAAGCGCTCCTTTTGGCGTGGTTTCATGGTCAAGACCAGCATGGGAAGGTACAGACCTCCAGTCTCCCTTAGATTGTTCTTAGGACTAATCCTTGCTTTTAGATCAATTTTCAAGAAATGAGGAAAACTGTGGAAGAGACACGTAACACCACACATACATTCTCAGGAAAAAAAGTTCTGTTTTGTTGGTTTTGTTTTTTTTTTTTCTCATTATCAGTGCTAATAGGACAAGAATTCCACTGCATAATAAATGATTGAGTCTTACAAATGTTGATTGCTCAGAAACATGAAACTGTATCTCTCTTGCAACAGGTAAAGATATCTCTCTCTGTTGTATGGTACTGCAAGAAAATATGCATTAAATAATACCACAGAAGGTTATATGCAGTTTTAACTTAGTGGTACTAATTAATTCAGGAAAAAAATAGCTGACTGCTACCTTAAAAACAGGTTTTAACACGACAGCTCTGTAAAGCTGCTATGACTGCAAAAGGGAATGACCCAGTCCTGGCAAGTCCAGTTTTCAGTAACACTGGACTAGATCACATTTACTGTGAGGTTCAGGCACAATTTGATTTTCCAACCAAGGCATCGATGGATTTAAGTCACAACCCGTCATTCTGAAAACAATGCAGAAAAAAATTATGATTCAGTGGAAATGAAAACATCAACTTAGGGTTATACAACACTTAAATATGCAGGACAGGTTGTCTGTTATTTTTTGCCTTTTTTTTTTCCCCCATGTCTACATTGCAGAGGTATCCAAAAGTGTTAGATTTTAAGAGCTTTGGGAAGTTTTTTTTCTTTCTTTTGTTGAAACATCAGCTTTTGGCTACTGCTAAAGTGATGATACCAGACTGATAAAACACTAGTTTGATTTGGCATGCCAAATCCTGCACTCCTTTGATGTGGAAGTAAACTGCATTACTGACACACATGCACACAGACCCTCTCAGAGTTTCTTCTCCCATCACTGGACAAGGTGTTTAAGCGATAACGTGTTAACGCTTATATGAGCTCCATGTGTAAATCCTCCACAACACTGATGGAAAAATCAGAAGGTAGTGCTTTGAAAATGTTTTATCTTGACACCATAAGAACTAGTCCATTCTATGGGAGAGCAGTATTAAAGAGTTCAAAATATTTTATCACTTCTTAAATTTGTGAAAAAATAGGGTTTTTTTTAAATTGTTCTCTTTAAGAGCATATGACTTTGGGTGGAAAGGTTTCGTGCTTTGTGGATTCTCAGGTATACAATTTTTCTTCCGAGTTGCAAAAAATGTAATGCAATAGAACAGAGTATGGTTTATTTCTAACTATTCTTGCCCTAACGCACAGTAAAAAGATAAAAGACTTAACTGAAGAAATATCTTAAATAGCAAATGTGTGGATTTTCACAGAGTTTAACAATGCTATTCTGTCACCACAAAGAAAAAGCAAACCCCAAAATTAAAAAAAAAAAAAAACACAAAACATTTAAAAACAAACAAGCAAACAAAAAAAAAAACAACAACCCAAAACCAGAGTGAAATATATGCACAAGTTGTTGTAATATATATACAAATTGTTGAATGGAAAAAGCCTAAGTGGTCGACTTTTATTTTCTAGGGTTGAAAATCAATCTGAAGTAATTAAAAAATAAATTCAGTCTTGCTTCATATCAGGTTTATAGCAGCACCCTCTACTAAAATCTCTGTGTATCAAGCACACCAAAAAAAGCTGCAGATTTAATGGCTATGTTTTGAATGTTTAAAACTTGTGAGTCAAGCAGGCAATCATTGTGTCTTCTGTCAGGTACTTTCATGAGCTGCTTTTTGTGTTTAAACTTGAAAATCCTTTCAAACTAATCCCATCCTAGTCAGTAAATCCAACCACTCCTGTGGCAACACAAGTCTTTATTACCTAGCTCTGTACATCGGAAGCTGGATTGCTGCAGAGCAACTACTAATAACCTAATACCCACTGGGGCCATGCAGCTGGCATGGCACAGAATCTACACAAGGGATGCTTAAAATTAGTTATGAGGTTTTAAAAGTGGTGTCCTGCAAAGCAAAAATTAAAACAAACTAATGAAATGTTTTAATAAGCACAAATGGATGCAAGTTTGCCTTCTTTGTTTTTTGTACTTTAGTATGACTGAAACAGAGAAGAAATGCCAAAATTAATCATAAATTCCCATGAGTCACTGACTTTCATGTAAACGAAGACTCAACATGGAGACCAGACCAACCAACAATTTGCTGTCCCAGATCAGACACTGAAAAACCATGTTTTATTACCTGCCACGGGATACAAAATTCACTTTATAATTCCCGTTTGACTTTCTTTCTCACATTAACTTTCTTGTGTGGGACAATCTTCAGTCACTTTTTAAGTTGGTCAGTGCAACCTCCACGTTCCCCGATTGCCCCATAACACATGAATCACCCTTTGTTGACTCACGAGAGGAATGAGACGAGCCCCGGCAGGCAGAGCTGATTTGACTCACCCATTATCCTACTCAGCGCCGCGTTCCTCGTGGGCGACTCGCTGAGGCCCTCGATCCCGCCATAGAGGGAGTGGGAAATCCTCCGCTCCCGCTCATCCAGCAGAGTCTCTATGGGCAGCTCTGGCCCAGAGGGGCTCCCAGGTGACTCCAGCTGCACAGAGAGAGGAAAAATTAGCACCCAGGGTCCATTTAGCAGCATGGGGGAACTGTCATAATTTGCCTAAGGCCTAGACCTGTCTAGGCGCCAAATGAGCTAGAAATCCTCACCCCGAACAAATATAATTTGCAATGACAGCTCTGCTTAATGATCAACTTTCTAAGCCACTTTATACTGCACCTCCCATGGTGCCCTGTCAATTCTCAAACCACTCAGTAGAAAATTGGTGAAAAAACCCATTGCATCTGGGTGTCTCTTTGTTGGATAATTTCTTAAGACAGTTTTGGCTTTTCTCAACACTATGGGGCAGACGGCTGGGCTGTTTTTCCTACGCTGACAGCCTGTCAGAACAAGGCCCCTGTCAGCAGTGCGGAGCAGGAGCTCTATTTGGAATTGGGTGGCTGGTGCTTTTTGAAGTGTTGCAATTTGCTTTCAAATGTAATTATCATGGAAACCCCATCACATGTATTAGTAACCAATATGTAAACACTCAAACATTTTGTAGTTCATAGGAAAGGCAAAAAAAAACCTGTCCGGCTTCACAGTAACTCTTACTTTTTTGCTCTGCCTTCCCTGGCTGCAGGGTACAGAGACCTCACATGCATTGTTCTGTCTGGAAGTTTCCTTGATCCCTGGTACTGCTGCAGCACCCAGGCAGAGCCATACAAACCAGAACTGGCAAAACCTGAGGTGCCCACCTCAACCCCAGCTCAGTGGAAAGCAGCACCTTTGCAAGGCCAAGGTGGATTTAGCCTCGCCATGAGCCACAGGAAGCTCTGCTGACAGTGCCAACACAGCCCCCAGAAGCAGGGGAGTGAGCGCCCGTGTGCTCCGCCGTCAGTTCGGATGCTCAGTTTGTCAGCACCCCGTCACTCACCGCAGAGACAAGTGGCTCCTCACATCACCACCCAGCCCTTACACCTTCCTGGCCCTAAAGCTCTTGGTTCACCTGAGCTCTAGCATCCTGCTGGCTACTCAGTAATGCTTTGCCAAGGAGCTTTGGCAAGAGCATTAAACCAATTCACCCTAACAGCGCGAACTGAACTCTATTAAAAGATAAACAAATATTTATACATAGATGTATTTTGCAGGGGAATCATATGAGCTCACACATCAAAGCATTATCTGGCCTCATCAACATGCCTCTTCATATTCAACTGTATCATTAAATCTCAAGAACAGTGTCTTTAGGCAAATCCCACAGCATATATTTTATATGTACTGAACTACTGTAGGCACCAGATATCACAAGATATTGTGAGCACACTGCAAATTCTTTGAAGTCACTGGGAACTGGAATTGGAAATCCTTACTTCAAGGACTGGTCTCTAACTTTAGAACATAAGAGTAGTACTTACAATAACAAGTAACATGTTTGTTGATTGTTTTTTTCTTCTTTAAACAGCTGCCTATTATTAATCACTCCACCCACAATCCCCAGATGACTAAGAAATGTATGCAACAAAAGGTTTTGTAAAAATCTGCTTCAAGGGCTACAAAGCACTCCGCTGAAGTCTCCACAGCAGAGGGGCTGAAGTCAGCCCAACGGACTAACAACTGACTTCAGGTGCTGGGATAATGCCTGGTACGTGGAGGGGCGGTGGTCTGTGAAACACTGCATTACAAAGTTGAGGAGACCACGACTAGGAGGTCGCGTAAAAAATTATTTTTTTTCTGTTCAAAGCCGTCCTCTGTTTAATATAAATGAGATATTTAATGAAGTTCCAAATTGTAGACTTATCTCTCCCTGTTTGATAAGCACCTGAGAGATTTACTGCATCGGAGGGTCAACACAATTACAATTGGAGGCACGTCGAGCTGCAGGAGAATAATAAACTTGCGGTGCAAGTGAATTAGACTCAATAAGGTTTAAATTGTGAAATGAGGATTTGTTTTATTAGCTTTTTAAATTGCAGATTACAACTGACAGCTTTACTGAAAAGTGAATTAAACAATATTTGTAGCTGCTGCTATAAAGGAATCTAAAGCAAATTCAAAAATAATAGAAAAGTTAAATTCTGAAACACTGTAAGAAAAAAAAAACACAGCAACATTAGACTGCTTGAGAGCTTAAACCTGCATGATAAAGGCATTAAATGATGAACTAACCTTTATTTCACTGCCTTTAAAGAAGGTGTGAAAATATCAAAGTGTTTTGGGATTTATTCTCCCAGTGCTATATTGATGACTTTATGTAACAAGTGTCCAGCTTTTAGTGAGCCATATCACAAAGTCCTTCATGTGACAACCCATCAACTTTCAGACTCATTTGTAGGAAGGTCTCAAGAGATTTTCAGAAAGAAACTGACAGGAAGAAAGCTCTGAATTGAAGAAATATAGAGAAATTCACTCCTGGTAATGCAGCAAAGTACAGGGTAAATAAAAGATATAGCAAAGGCTTATGTTAGATGGCCATGTTTTATAAAGTGAATCACGTATTTTGTCATTTTTATGGGGAAAACTTTTTGCATTTTTAATTAGCATCTCAAAAGATGGGTTTAAACAAAGGCATCGACAGCCAACTACACAAATATTTTACAAAAGATACAATGCCTTTTATAAAACAGCAAAAATTAGACAGCAATTACACAACTGGCTTTCACAAAAAAAAAAAAAGTCTTTTTTTTACATTGTTCATGGGAAGTGTGTATAAGAATAAATACATTGAATTTGGAAACTGTGCTGTGGGGAAGACAAAGAGACCAACAGTCCAAAGCAAGATTTCAGTTCAAATAAAGACTTGTTCTTCCTGATACATTTCTAATAAAGACCTTGAATTACATATTCCAGTTCCTTGCCTTAGCTGATATCAGTGCTATCTGCTATAATTTAATTTAAGTGATAAAGTGTAGATAATATAAAGAAAGATATATGAATTCCTGACCTTTGTTAAAGGCCTGGCAAGGAAAGGAAAGCAAGCTGGGCAGCAGCTCGCCCTGATACTACCTATCAATAGCTGCCCCTAGCAGGAGCACTTCTTGGTGTAACTGTTCAGAGTCACAAACCAGTTGATATTGGACAGAACCACTGAAGATTAGTCCAACCACTTTTCGAAAGCAAAAGCAGCTTGTCCAGTTGGGGTTTGAACACCTCCAAGCACAGAGACTCCATAACCTCTCTGGGCAAGCTATGCCAGTGGTTGGCCACCCTTTCAGAAGCAAATTTGTTTCTTATGTTTAAAGAAACTTATTGAATTTCAGTTTGTGCCCATTGCTTCTTGTGCTGGCACTGGGCAGCACTTAAAAGTTCAGATGGGTCATCTTTACTTCTCCCACCAGGTGTTCAGAGACCCTGGTAAGGTCCCCCTGAGCCACCTTCTTTCCAGACTGTGGAGAGAACCCTCTCTGGGTGTTAGCACTGATATATAATGAATTATCATATTCATAAAAACGCATTAAAATCTCACAGGCTACAGACTGCCTGTAGCTCCTTTACTGTCCATTCTCTTAAAGTAAAAATAGAAACAAGTGGGTTTTTTTTGTTTTGTTTTGTTTTAAATAAAAAAGGTCTCTACCCTGGCCCTTTGTCATTCAGATAAGAACCAGCTGTTTGCCAAAGCACTGTCTGAACTAGCTAGCCCAGCTGTGGCTTATCTAGATGATAAAAGGAGAACTAATGTGGTCCTTTTTACTTAAAACACCACTATCCATCCTATCTGAAGTTATGCACATAAATATTGAAAAAGTTTATGCACAAGAACATTGCCAAAATATTCAAAGCATAAACTTTTTTTTTTTTTTGAAACACACAATCATCAGACTTCCTTTTTCCTTGAGACAGTAAATTGTCCAAATACTGTCATTCAAGCTAATGGATCTTAAAGAAGGCAGTATACAAATTTGCTATATATTACACTGTATCCAGGGTACTGAAGCTTTCTGTCTCATAGAATTATTCTCCAGGCTTTCTTTTTCCTTTCGTATCTGAGTACTGTGGCTAAAATGACCACAATGCTTCAGAATCCTTCTCAAATAGAGATACTTTCACAATACTACTACCAATATTAAATACGCTTTTCTTTGTTGCCACCCAAGTTGGGATCCTGATTTATGGATAGATTTTGAAAGATAAAAAAATGTAGGTAACAAGTCATAAAAGGGTGAGGTTTGATTTGCATGCACAACCACGCACTGATTAATGTAAAATTAGCACAGTATTTTTAAGAAATAGTGCATTCTTGTTCTGCCAATGTTAGAAGGCAAGTAGAAGACAAAAATTGTTTTCAGAATGGTGGGACAAAAAACATACAGCTTTATAAAATGTAGTTTGGTCATAAATTATGGGATATGGGGAGAAACCTGGGCCAAGATGGAGCTTGCAAGTTGATGGCATGGATAGAAAAGAGATAATGGAGAAAAAAGTAAGTAAAGATAAATGGGGATAAGTAGAAGTGCAGAACATGACAAGATATTACAAAATAGAAAATCATGTGCATGCTTTCATAACAACTGGCTTTATAAAATATTATTGGACAGTTTACTATTAGAAGTTTACCTAAATACACACTGAAAATCATGCACCAAAAAGGCCACCAGAGGCCTAAAATGAGACCATTAACAAGTCCTGTATTAGAAGCTCAGGTAACATGTGCCACAATAAAACAAACAAACAAACAAAACAATATAGCCCAAGAAATGAGGGGAAGAAGGAAGAACATGAAAGAACATAAGCAGCACCCTTCAGAGGATGCTCAGACTGAAGGTAAAATGTTCACCAAGGACATCAGACATAAGAAGGTACCTAGCGAATCAGCTGGACCTCTTGACAAGAGTGAAAGAGGCATGGAGGGGCAAATCTGCAGCAGGGAAGTTCAATGATTTCCTTGCCTCAGTCTTTACTGCTGAAGATACAGGGGAGCCTTTCACACCTGACCTCGTTCTTTGTCACAAATACAGACAGGAGTGGCATCAGCCAGAAAAAAATACACAGGAGCATTAGATCAAATGGATAGGTGGGAAGTTAACACCACCCACGTTAGATGGTATCCTCCCAAA